TTGTGTGACACGGTGTTTTGCAAGGTTAAGTGCGGAAGTCTGTACGCCAACCAGTAATTTTTGAGGATAGCAACGACGAAAATCTTTGGAGCGACAACACATATGCGACACTGACGTCAGAAAACTGTCGGTAAAAGAAGTATACATTAGAGTGAAACAAGAGCTTTCAGTTCAAATATGAGTGTGTCAGAACGTTACGAACTACACGGCAAAATATCAGGTTGACATGAAAATTACGCGCAGCACATGAAATTATGAGTGCGACTGCAACATATTTTGGATTCCACAAATATGCATAAGAAAGAGTGCAAAAGGATCTGCTCGATTCATCGATCAGTTAAGGCGAATATGAAAGTTTTCGAATCCCATATGAATACACCAGGGTGACGATAAGAGCGTCGATCTGATGGATGTGGCTTAATCGGTAGCTGCATATCGTCCTTCTTCTAACTCACCAAGCCCCATTTAGATCCACAACCACGTTATTCGCGAAATGCACACAAAACAATTTATGAAGCAAAGCACGTGGTAACATAAGAGAAAACAAGATCAGGGTATCTACTAATGTTCTCTGGAAATGGCAACTGCTTTCTGAACACATAGAAAAGTTTGAGAGCGACTATATAAATTTCTTGAAACCAAGCACGGTGTTGCAGGCTCGAGCAGGGCTGCAGGGTACTAATCCAACTCTTCAGATGATGGTGACTAGTTACAAGTTTTACGAGAATTCGTGAGAGAGAGAGAGTGCAAAATGCTTTAGAAGCTAATAATGTGTGACCCTATTGGCGAAAAGCTTCCACTTTCTAAAGATATCTCGGAGAAACCGCGACAAGTATCTGATCACTTGAAATGATTCAAAACGACATGAAAAACTTGAAGGGTCGATCAATACTCAGGTGCCCTATCAAAGCTCCACGCTACGATCGAATGTCTGTAGGTGATGGTGAAAATTTCTGGCTTAGAGAAAAGCTTGTGGAAAATATAGGAAAAATCCAGAGATCCGATCTCTGTCTTTCGGTGGTGGCAAAAAAACTAGTGTCGAAGTAAATCCATGAGAGAGTGGACAAGATTCGAAATCCAGTCATAGACTTCGATGAATATCTGTGAGGTCATGTCGGAAGCTTTCTGATCACACAGAAGAAGATAAGACGAACAGGTAAAAATAACACAGAATAGACATATGAATTACACGAGCGACTAAAGTCTTGAAAATGTCAATAAGAATATTTTGGTCGTAATGAAAATTCTCAGATCTCATCGGAGCATCTGTCAGTTACAGTGAAAATCTTCAGACTACTGAAGAATATCTAGGTTTACTGACGACATTTTTCGAGTCATGGAGAAATGTGGGAGAAGAACAGTAAATAGATTTCAAGAAACTGATCAGCTCATTTTGTCAGGCATAAAAATTTCTTCTGGATATTGCTTGATATCCCTGGATGATGAGAAAGCTTTCGAATTAAAGAAGAATATGTTTATTTGCTTTATGAAAATGATTTTTGAGAAAATAATGATTTTTCTACAAAGATTTGCGAAAGCAAATGAGAATCGGAAGCCAGATTTCGAGAATTCTGAGTTTGATTTTGTCAAAATAAAAGAGATTTTTAGGAAAATAGCGAAGTTGTATAAAGTTTCGCCAAAGGCTTTTGGGGTTGAGGAATCTGAACCGAGTAGTACTTCGTCACAAGGTTTTTGACATATATATGACAGTCTTGTATAGTTTGAAGCAGTGTTGAAATCGCTATGGTGTCTTTGTTACTGTTATCGATATTAGTACAACTGATCAGATCTATGCGGACTGATTGATGTACCGGAATGTGTCATTTTTATTGATTCCGACTTTTAAGCAGCCAAGCTAACCACAAGATTAGTGTTTTCGTAATAATCACATTAGTATTATAAAGCACTGTTCCACCATTATAGTGCTTGTCAATTTTTATTTTCCTACGGCTTTCTTTCCTTGACATGTACTAGAGGCCCACATTGGTGTGCTTTTCGTAGGTCTACCTTTCTCGTGACAAACTGTGGACCTTTTCAGTCTGCTTACACTTGTCGTTTGCTTTCATCGATTTGACTTGCGTGCTCCTCATTTTGTTTGGTCTTGTATCCTGTCTTTTAAGGCATACTGTATTGTTCCTACATTCTAATATCACGATAATAATTGAGTGGAACCAGAAAAAGCTACAGATATCAAAATAATATGATTAAGTGACAGATTTATCGATTTAACGCCGTATGTAACTGTTAAGTAAAGACACTAACGAAAATATTAACCTTAAGAAAAACTTTGTTTTGAGTAAGAATCTGTAGAATGAATGGCTCATTCTCAAAAGAGATACAATTTCTTTTTGTGTATAATTAGCATCAAATGGCTTCGAAGACACTTGTTCAATGATTTCCTAGTCTAACTACTAATCATTGTCATAGCTATTTAATACTGTCATAGTGACCTAAAGATCTTGTAGCTATTTAACCGTGCCATAGCTATTTAAAGGCTTCCATAGCTATTCAACCATTTGTATAGCTATTTAGTCTTTCCCATGGCTATTTGAACTTATCATAGCTATCTAGAGATCTTCTAGCTATTTAATGTTGCTATGGCTATTTAATCTTATCACAGCTATTTAAAGATCCTATAGCTATTTAAAATTGCTTTAGCTATCTAATGACTTGCACAACTGTTTAATCATTTACATGGCTATTCAATGCTATCATAGCTATCTAAAGATCTTGTAGCTATTCAAAGTTGCTATAGCTATTTAATAATTTGCATAGCTATTTAATCTTTGACTTGACTATTTAATGCTATCATAGCTATCTAAAGATCTTGCACCTATTTAAACTTGCTACAACTACTTAAAGATTTGCACAGCTATTTAATGATTTACATGACTATTTAATCCTATCATAGCTATCTAAAGATCTTGCAGCTATTTAAACTTGCTACAACTATTTAAAGATTTGCATACCTATTTAATGCTATCATAGCTATCTAAAGATCTTGCAGCTATTTAAAGTTGCTATAGCTATTTAATAATTTGCATACCTATTTAATCTTTGACTTAACTATTTAATGTTATCATAGCTATCTAAAGATCTTGCAGCTATTTAAAGTTGCTATAAC